ATGATAGAAGCCCATGACCCCAAATGATTCAAACCCAGCACTCTCAAGGCCCACATTCTGAGCTGAAATAGCCACAAGTCACCATTTGGCCTGGTTTGGGGATCTGCTTTCTTTTTGGTCTATTTGTGTGATGGCACAGAAGATGAGCCTCTCTCTAGTCTCCAGTCAGGAAAACAGGCTTCTCATGTTATAGAAAAACCTCAGTGCCTCGGCTCGACTTAGCAATGGGTAAGCTATATTAAGAAGCACATCCAGCTCCTTCAAAGTCTAGACAATGTATTTGTAGCTCTCTGGCCTGTATCAGAGGTTATGGATCTCAGGGAGCACAGAACTCTTAGTACTTATAAGGATGGGTTCACTGGGATGCTTAGTTTTGTTTTTCTCATTGAAATTAGCAGACACAAGGGTTATGTCTAATCAGACCCAAAAGTCAAGTCTTTTTACTTCTTGGTCTCTAGGAAGTATAGATTGTCAAGAGGACTGTGTTGAAATGAAAATATCGAAACTATTATTGAAAACTAGGATCTGATCTCTGGCAGAGGACAAATCTTCCTTGAATTGCTGTCCCTGGCCTTTCCTTGCCATTTATCTGTAAGGAATCTTTTCAGTGTCATGGCTGTATGCATCTTCTATGTGCACAGAAAGTTACTGCATTCCTACAGAAGCTCATCTCGGGAGAGACTGAGCAGCAGGAGGACATGATTTGGCATTCCCAACTAGTTTAGAGAAGAACTTCACCTCAATTTCCAGAGGAGATAAAGCACACAGAGACCATATAGAACCATCTTTGTCACCTTTCCAGCTTCTGTGCTAATGACATTTATGACAGATACAAAAAAGAAATAAAAATGGAGATTTAGTCATGATTCACTAATGCAGTGGGAGAATTCTATCAGAAAAACTTAAACTCAGCATTGAACTTTCATTCTACCTTGCTGGGAATTAAGCAAAGCAGAAGGTGTACACAAGCAGCTGCTATAGTATAAAACTATATCCCAGTTGGAATCTGCTTGCTAATCTTTTGGTTTGGAACCACATAATGAACTCCATCTGAACAGATTAAACATCATAAAGCCAAGGTGTAATAACATTACCCAATTAACCTGTCTGCCACAGACACCCTGTATCACCTGGGAATTATCACTAATATGGTCCTAAGTGAGTTTCCTCTGGGAAACAGATTTTCTGGCAGCCCCTATGGAACAAAAGCAGCATCTATCTATCATAGTTAGGCAATGCCTTTTTCTTTTATTATCTAGGTAGCAAGAAAGCAGCCTCATATAACTCCTCAAGGGGAGCACACTCCTGGCCCACAGATCTCCATGGTTCAAGGGCAGTGTCAATCTATTCATCCAGCATGTCATACAAGCCAGGCCTGCCCACTTGAAGCCTCCATTCTAACTTAAGAAGAAATCATGGCAGCACAGGATGACTGAAAATTTTAACCATTACAGTTAGAGGCAGGGCACATATTAGCTGGATTTGCTCGTTTTCCATGTTGGATGAAAAGAAAAAACATTCTAGAAATTAAATAAAACAAAAATTCTAATTCAACTCTTTTAACATGTTAATAACAGTTTGGAAGTTCAGTTGATTTTCTTCTCCATTCAGAAATCAGTAAATCAACCAACTCAACCTGTTTACTGAAGTGGCTGGAACAAAAGTTACCAAAGAACAATCTGCCGGAAGGTTGAGCAGATGCAGTCATGCTTTCAATGCATGTATGTGAAAATAGAACTCAGTAAATTGGAGGGATGGACGGGGTTGAGGGCGGGGGGAGAGCAATGAAAGGGGTGACATTAAGATGTATTGTCCTAACATATTTTGTGTTGAAACCCCTTTGTACAACTATTTAAGGATGATTTTTTAAAAGGAAAAAGAGAGACAGGCAGACAGAAAGAAGAAAAAGAGAGGGATAGATGGAAAGAAGGGAGGGAGGAAGAGAAAGGGAGGGAGGGAGGAGAGAAGAACGGAGGGAGGGAGAGAGGGAGGGATGAAGGAGAAGAAAGGAAGCCAGCCCGGGCAGCAAAGTCTGTGAGACTCTTATGCCAATAAACCAGCAGAAAAACTGGAAGTGGTTTGTGGCTCAAGTAGTAGAGCGCTCACCTTGAGCTGAAGAGAACAGGGACAGCGCCCAAGCCCAGAGTTCAACCCCATGACGTACAAAAAAAAAAGGAAAGGGGTGTGGGTGACAGCTTCTAAAAGCCATACTTTGTCCCTGAACTGAAAACCCACCTGTGACCCTCCTCCAACCCATCTACACAAACACCCCGCTTTACAACACCCCCTCTCCCTGAACTTGAATGCCCACAGAAGGCAGGTGTGCCAGCTTGAATGACTCCGCTCTGCGTCACTCCTCATGGGTGCCAAGTTTGGGCAGACACAGTCATTCACCTCAGAGCTTTCTAGAATTTCTCTAGTATCCTGGGTCATCTATATCTTTTCACTCGGCCCAGTTTCAGTCCACCCATGATACAGACACTGAGCCCATGCCAACTTCAGCCACAGGCTCCTTTCTCTCCCAAGTCCAGGCCCAGTGCTGGCTGACCCTTGCTAAAAAACACAAACACAGAAATCCCATGTGTGCTGGTTGGAGTGGCAATGCTTTGAATGGTTTGCTTATTAGAACAGGTCTTCCACCCTGATTACAAGGAGCAAAACAACTTTGACATATGCTCTGCCCAGATAACATAGGAAATTCTTCAGCTCTCCAGCAAATTAAGAGAATTCAGCAGGAGTCAGATGAGTCTAAAGGAGTTAAATTTTCCAATGCTTTCTGTGAGCCAGAAGTGAAGATTGTATGATATGAAATCATTTTTCAGCCACCCAAAGAACCAAGCCTTGGCCTGGGAATGTGGCTTAGTGGGAGTGTGCTTGCCTAGCATGCATAAAGCCCTGGGTTCGATTCCTTAGTACCACATAAACAGAAAAAGCTAGAAGTGGTTCTGTGGCTCAAGTGGTAAAGTCCTAGCCTTGAGAAAAAAAAAAAAAAAGAAGCTCAGGGACAGTACCCAAGCCCAGAGTTCAAGCTCTAGGACCAGCAAAAAACAAAAACAACCTCCTAGCCTTTTTCTTGGGAAGGGGTTAAGGTGTGTATGAGCCCTCTGGCCCTCCTCCTAGCAGGCTGAGGCCTTGATCCCCACTTTCCACACTTGTGCTGTGACAGTCATGATTCATTTTGGATTTATTCCTTAAATAATACACCTGTGGCTTTTCTCTTCTTGTTACTTCGGTACCCATCAAAGAATCCTCCCAATCTTACAGAGACTAAATTCTAGAAGAATAAAAACTAAACTGGGTCACATGGAGAACCACGTTGTGGGGCTCTAAAGAGCCCACATGTAGTTAAAATTGGGGTGTACTTTTTGTTTTGGAGGAGTATGGAGGCAGAAGGGACAGGAAAAAAAAAAGCAATCTTAAGCAGCAGCCTCAGTGACGAGGCGACCGTCCCCTGCTCTTCCAGTAAGATATTTGGCTAGCAACTCACACTACAAGCCTTCATTGCTTCATTTAAAATCTTACAGAGAAAGGTTGTTGAAAAGCATAAAAGTGTACATGTCGGACGGAGGAAGGGAGGGATGGAGGGGGGAGGTACGCAGAGAAATGGATTATCACCAATTTCTAGATTTTCAGTTTTCTTACAACTGATGTTCACTCCAAATCTAGGGAACACAATAAGCTCAAAGCCAAGGTGGGGAAACGTTCCACCTTACCGTAGAAAATGAGGGGAGCACTGAAACCATAGTGACCACCCTGGCAGTGAAGGGCAGTCTGAGAACACTTAGGAGCAGGGAATTGCAACTTCCCTGTTGAGTCTACCCTTAACAGGCTGGATCATATGGGGCAAAAAAAAAAAAAAGTTTGCTTTCTGTTTCCTTGGAGTTGGTGGGGGAGGAAGAATTCCTATGTCTTGGTTTTACAATAGCCTCCTGTGTTTAGTCAGCTTTCTGTTACTGTAACAAATACTTGAGATAACTCAACCTATGCAGAGAAAAGGTTTATTGTGACTCACAGTTTGGAGGATTCAGTCCATGGCCGACAGGCCTTCATTGCTTTGGGCTTGTGATGTCATCTCAGGTTGGAGCACATGACAGAGCATAGCAGTTCACCCCCCTGAATAGGAATGAAAAGAGGAAGAGAAAGAGACCAGGACCCCACAGTCTCCTTCAAGGGCATGCGCCCAATGACCTGAAACCTACCACAAGCACCCACCTCTTGCAGGTTCCACAGTCTCCAAGGAGCACCAAGAGTCACCGACCAAGTCTTTAACACACAGGCCTTTGGGGAACACTTACCCACACCCCAACAATAACCTATAGAGTTGTCTGGTAAGTGATAAGAGATCTGTGAAATGCTTCTGAATGCCAAGGAAACAAATGGGAGACAAAATAACAACATTATCTAAAATGACAGTGCATCAGAGAAGGAAGAACTAACAAGTAGTAATGGCAATTGTCCAGGTAGCCAAGTTTGTTTGTTTGTTTTGTGCCAGTCCTGGGGCTTGGATTCAGAGCCTAAGTGCTGCCCCTGAGCCTTTCTGCTCAAAGATAACACTCTACCACTTGAGCCACAGCTCCACTTCTGGCTTTTGGTAGTTAATTGTAGTAAAGAGACTGAGGGATTTTCCTGTTAGGGTTGACTTTGAACTATGATCCTCAGATCTCAACCTCCTGAGTAGCTAGGATTATACAGGCATGAGCCACTGGTACCTGGTTAACCAGGAACTTTGAGATGCTTTCATCCTGCCACCCACACCGCCTCCCCTGCCAGTCTGACGTGAGCCCACAGAATGGCCTGCTGAAGCAAGAGTTCTAGCTTTGTCTCTCACGCATACCACCCACCCACATCCCAAACCATCCCTCTTGAACAGATGCTGAGGGAGACAGACTGGGGAGCCAGCATGTATTTTTGGAATACCTTCTACCCTCAGAGAGATTCTTTTAAACCAACGGAGTGATACACAGGTGGAGATACCTCTGATGATAATGACAAAAATGCACTGACCTATAAAAAGTCATTTAATGTATATTCCAGATGGCCAACACAAGCTTGGTAGGTAATTAGCCCTTCCATAGTTCTTTTTATAGTCATATAAAAATGTTTTGCCTTGTTTTAAAAAAAAAGAGATTTAGTCCAACAAAATCATATCCACCAACGGGTTTGCATCTTTCTCACTTGCAGGTTCACAAGATAAAAATACACACATCTGCACCCCTGAGCTATCCATTAGCTAATCAGTTTGGGCAATACACTGCACAAAGGTATACTGCCACTGGTTTCTGACATCAGGTTAGCCTTAAGCTTATTGGCTATGCCAACAACTGGAGGAAGCTTGGAACTCAGCCCCTGGAAAGCATTCGTAGGACTCACTACTGGTTTTCCTGGCACCTTGTCTGTGGTGAGAGACTTGGGCAGAGCCTTACTGATCCAGGGGTGTCTTAACGCTTGAGCTGGGGTCATGCGGGCAGAGGGGTCCCACTGAAGACATCTTTTGAGAAATTCTATGAACAAGTAGTCATCACACCCTTTCAGTGCTGTCCCCCAGTCTCTGCTGCCTGGGGTACCCCGCTTTTTACCCCGCCGTGAGCGACCCCCCACAAGTACAACTCTCCCATCTGACTGAGTAGTCATGGAACAGTAGCGAGGTAAGCCCTTGGAGTTAATAAAGTACTTGGCACGTTTGGATTGCTCCAGGAGTTTGGGTGGTGGCATTCCCAGAAGCTCCATCATGCACGCCAGCTGGTCGCCTTCATCCTCGCCGGGGAACAGAGGCTGTCCAGTGAAGAGCTCCGCCAAGATGCAGCCGAAACTCCATATGTCAATAGGCGTACTGTAGCGACATCCTAGGATGATCTCCGGGGCTCGGTAGAAACGGGACTGGATGTACGTGTAGAGCTTCTGGTATTCGAAACAGCTGGACCCGAAGTCGATGACTTTGGTGGCGCTGCGCCCGTGGTGTTTCAGGAGAATGTTTTCTGGCTTCAGGTCGCAATGAATAATCTTATTTTTGTGGAGAGCATCCAAAGACTGCAGGATGGATTGAGCAAACTTGCGGACCAGCTGGATGCTAAATCCCTGAAACTTGTTTTTCTTAATCAACTCATACAGATCGATGCTGAGCAATTCAAAAGCAATGCACACATGGTTCCGGAAGGTGAAGCTCTCCAGCATGTGAATGACGTTCATGCTCCCAGTCTTGTCTTGTTTCTTCAGATGCTCCAAGATCCGGATCTCCTCGGCCGCTTGCCGATGAAAGCGCTTTTCATTACGCACCATTTTTAGGGCCACGTACTGTCGAAGTTTGTGATCGTAGACTCGGGCTACCTGTCCAAAACTTCCCTTACCAATAATTTTCAGCACCTCATATCGATAAGCGAGGTGGTCTCGAGGTACATGGATATAGGCCCCTTCTGCATCATCATAGCCCCCGTTATTGGGACCACCAACAACTCCTTGTCTTTTTTTGGCATTTGGACCTACAAAGTAGATTTCTGGGTAGTTGATTATTTCCACCTTCTCATAAGCAGTGAGGTGGTGTTTGTACTGCTTCAGGGCCTGCTCCGGCGTTAGAGGCACCGCCACTTTGAGTGTCTTGGATGAACTGCTGGATTTCACTGTGTGAAAGCTTTCTACACTTTTCCTCTGAGAAGTGGGAGGTGAGCATTTTTCGGAGTCACCGGCGCCTTCTGATAGGAACGTACCAGACCGCCTGTTGCCAAATTCTTGAAACAGCTCTTCTACCTTCATCTCACCTCCATTCAGAAAGTGCTGTGTATGCTCTCTTGTTAACTGCTCACTGGAGATCTATGGGAGAGAAAAATACATACACTGTCACAGTCCCTAGAAAGGTTAGAAAAGATGAAAGAATCCTCCCTCTGACTGAACAACATCAAAACATGTCCAGTCATGTTTATTTTAAGGTTAAAAGATCCAAATGGGAGCTAAGAAAAGCAAGTCTAGAGACTTGTGTTATACTAATTCTGACTCCCTGAGTATTAAGGTCGCTAGTCCCTTGTGTATACCCTGCTTTTGCTCATAACAAAATGGCTGTCTTAGCATTCCTTAAGACACCAGCTTCCTTCCTTATAGGTCGGTCTTGTATGAGACCTCTTCAACCCACTCAACTATTCACATGCTACTTACTCTCCTTGAAGGCCCGGTTTAAGCCAGCCACCATTGGCTCATGCTTGTAATCCTAGCTATTGTGAGAGGCGAAGAACTGGAGGATCATAGTTCAAAGGCAGCTGGGGTGAAAGAAAAAAATGTGAGACTTCTTTCCTACCCATAGCTGGGCACATCTGTTGTCCTTAGCTTTGTGAAAGGTTGTGATATTTGGGAGAATCAGGATTCCAGGTCAGCCTGGGCAGAAAAGTAAGGAAGCTAGCAGGGGTGGGGTACTGACAGTTATCAGCAATGGGAAGCCTAAAGGTAGGCAGACGGAGGCTCAGGCCTGTGCTAACATGAGGAAGCAAGCCCTTATCCTAAAAACAAGCAGAGAAAAAGAGGGCTGGAGACATGGCTCAGGAGTATTAACACCAGTAAGAAGGTGGCTCTGAGTTCAAGCCCCAGTATGACCAAAATAAATAGAAATAAGACCCAGTTTAAGCCCTCTTTTCCACTTAGCACTATTTCAAGCCCATTCTAATTAACATCTCTTCTGCCACCCTCCCTGGTCCTGGGGCTTGAAATCAGGGCCTGAGCATTGTCCCTAAACTTGAGCCACTGTTCTACTTCCAGCTTTTTTGGTGGTTAAATTGGAGATAAGATTCAGAAAGTGCTTTGTATACTCATAAAGGTGGCTTCATTCAAACTGTGATCATCAAATCTCAGCCTCCTGAGTAGCTAGGATTACATTTGTGAGCCACAGCACCTGGCTTTTAACTTTGCATTTTGACTATAGCTTTTGGAGTCTGTCTCTCTTACCCTTTGCCGGTTGACTATATATGGACAATGTAAGATACTATATATATATATATATATATATATAGTACTGAGAAGATATTTGAAAAATTAGTGGACAATGTAAGACAAGGTAAGATACCATATGTATGTATGTATGTATATATGTATGTATGTATGTATACATATATATATATATGGAAAAAGAGAAAAGAAAGGGAAGAGAGAGGAAGGAAGGAAGGAAGGAAGGAGCGAGCGGGAGGGAGTGAGGGAGGGAGGGAGGAAGAAAGGAGAGAGGGAAGGAAGAGAGGGAGGGGGAGGGAGGAAGAGAGGAAGGGAGGGAGGGAAAAGAATGGAAAGGACAAAAGGAGATAAATTAATTTTGATCTTGAAAAATAATATTCTAAGTGACCTACCAGAATGAGATCAGCATGGACCAACTCCAAATTAAAGTTAAAATGAGAACTCTGGAATTCTCAGAAGCTTTTATATGTATTTATATAATATTTATATGCTAAAGAAAGAAACTCACAGAGAATGCAAAGACATCCCACTGTCGTCCAGAAAGGGGGATAAAAATAGGGTGCACAGACTTTCAAATGTTTCAGCCCATGCTTTAATATTATTAACCTTGAAAATGGCGAAAAGGTTGCTTTGAATTAATAGAGATGGAAACTTGAGAAGAACTATGAGAGATACCAGTAATTTCAACATAGAAACGACTTCAGGTTTTAAACACAACACATGAGTGAAAAGCAGGAAAATGAAGTTATTTCAATTCTCCATGTTTCTTTAGATGGCATAGGTAGTATATTTTAAGGTCACAGGACGGTTTCTCCCTGTCTTGGAACATGCCCAAATCCAGCTCTGACTACTAATATATGGGTGCTTGAAAGAATATGAATTAATTTTATTATCTTAAGTAAAATGGTGTCAGAAGCTAAGTGTCTGCAGCTTGGAAAATGATTAAATGCATCACAACCCAAACTGTGTTGTTCAAGTTTAATTGATGAGTTACAAAATGGTGCTCTTTAGCATACTAATTAAACTCACACTGCATCTCTTCTTTTCAGGGACAAATTGTGCCCATTTACAATTTCTGAGATACTTTCTGCTTGCTTGTGTTTAAAAGAGCACATACTCTCTGCATATCATCCTCTCTAGACATAAGCATTACTTAAATAGCAGATGATTAAGTAACCTACTCTTTTTTTCTAATGTTTTATCATGTTTTATCTCTGTAGAAACTAAAAAGTGGGCTTCAAATTAAAAATCTGCAAAACTAAATTCAGACCCCAGAAATTCTTTTTCCAGTCAGGAGAAACCAAAAGGAAACCGAACAAAGGCTGTGTGGCTAGTGACATGCATTGCACCTGGGGGTGTCGGGCAATGTCCTCCTGCCCAAGACGATGAGAATGCCAAGAATGGGCTCCTGCACTTACATTTAGTCTTCGGGGTAGAGGCGGCTCAGGAGTGCACAGAACATTTGAACAGGGTGGGCATTTGGTTTCATCGATCATCATGAAGGAATCGTACACACCATCCTCCAATCTAGTTGAAAGGATTACAGATAAAGTTTATGAGTAACTGAAGAATATCAATTTCCATTTCAAAATACCCTGTGTCTGAACTGCTTCAAGGCTTGCTACAAACAACTATTTGTAGAAATGTCTACACATTGGCATTGTAAACAAGTGGACCATTTGGCAGAAGAGAAGAATACCAATTCCCCTTCCCCCCTTTTTGTAAAGAGGCATTTCTAAATACATACTTTAAAACAGTTAAAATAACAAGATTTACTTCCTAAATATTGTTTTGTTTCAAAGATCAGGACTATGAATTAACTGACTACTGGAAAATGCAGGCTATTTAGAATATGGAATATTAAGACTACAAACCTTCATGATCATGTCAAAATCTGAGACTTGGAATCTAAACTCAGCTCTATCACTGGCTTCAAGGCTTTTGCTCTGAGCCAGTTTTCCGGGGCGACAGGAAGAGAAGCTCTGTCTCTACACACTTCTGGTTCTTACTGGCAAGAAATAAAAGGTCTTTTAGGGCCGCGTTCTCTTTATTAATTTGCTTACTTTCCTACTTACACCTACCTAGTTTGCAGGAAGATACAATGATTACTAGATGCTCTAGATAACAAAACTGGATTTTACTTCTGTCTCCACTTCATTTCCCAGGAGATGGGGCAGGCCAAATAATAGCTAAATGATTGTGGTTCATTTTTCAAGTCTCTAACATGTGGACCCAAAGGATGGAAAGGATTTATTTAATCTGCAAGATGGTCCTGAATAATGTAACTCATTCCATAGCAAGAATACAGATTTCCAACACCTCAACAGTTCACCATATCTTTTATATTGCATACTGTGAATACAACAACGACCAGGTGGCAAAGGAAGCATTTTTTTAAAAAATGTCTTTTAAGCTGAGGAGATGGTGGCTGATGCCTATAATCCTAGCAATTCAGGAGGCTGGGATCTGAGGATCGTGGTTAGAAGCCAGCCTCTGCCTTATAAAACGCTTATCACCAATTAACCACCAAAAACGCCAGAAGTAGGGCTGTGGCTCAAGTGGGAGAGCACTAGCCTGGAGCACAAAGGTCAGTGACAGCGCCCAGGATTCAAGTTCAAGTCACAGGATTGGCACTGGCACACACACACACACACACATACACACACACACACACACACACACACACACACACACACACACACACACACACACACACACACACACACACAGTTTTGAGTATATTTTTTACCCCCTCCAAAAAAAAAATCCTTAACTATTTTAGCCCTGTAAAAATCCTTTGTAAGGTTAGTTCTAGAGTGCGTTGCATTAAAAGAATACAAAGGCCGACACAAAAACAGTACAAATATTTTTAGAATGTTCTGTTTAAACCGTGCTCACATTCTGACCGGATCATCTCTATCTTTAACGAGGAAACGCTTCGCCGACAGAAACCCAATGTGCTGGGTGTGAACCACCCTTCTGCCACAGCGTGAAAAAACAAACAAACACACAAACAAACAAGGGGCCGGGCACGGTCTAGACACTCCACACCCGCAAGATTTCCAACTAGCAGGAAATGATCGCAGGAAGGCGCCACGGAACGAAAGGGGAGGGGGGTCCCTTCTCTCCACTGAAGACTACAGAGCCAGGTGGGCAGTGTCTCCACCTCGAATCTGCCCAGCAGAGCCCCCAGACCCCACGCCAGCCCGCCCCCTGGGGCAAACCTCCCAGGAGTTCCGAGCAACAGGGCCTCTTTCAACAAGGTCTGGCTCCCGGGTTCCCCCAGTCTTGCTAAAAGAAGTAATACACCACATAAACGCCCTGGGCTTCCAGATTGCCATACCACGCACCCCGATCTGGGGTTCCGGGTACGGGGGGGGGGGGGTAATGCTCTCCCCCACCCCACGCTCCAGCCCCGCCCGCCCTCCGCCGGGCTGTACGGGAGGCTGGCAGGGGTCGGGTCCCGGGAGGGAATCGCAGCCCCCGGGCGGGGTGCTCTGCCAACCTCCAGCCCAGGCCTTCGCCCACCCCACCCCGGCCTCTCCAGCCAGCTCCAGGCGCTCACTCGGGCGCCCCCAACGCGTTACCCCCGGGGCGCCGTTACCTCCGCTGCTGAGGCGGGAGCCCGACCCCGGGTGGCCCCGCATCCTTCCGCCCCGGCCCGCGAGCCGTGCCTCCCATCGCTAGCTCCGGAGCCCCTCCACGAGGGGAGGGGCGGCGGTTGGAGGGTCCGCGGGCCGCGTCCACCTGCGCCGGACCGGCTGCGTCTGCCTCCGGGGCGCGCCGCTGCCCCGGGGACTCTCGGGGAGACACTGCAGCTCCGCGCGCCCGGGCTCCGGACCCGCCCCGGCGGGGAGGAGGGAGCCGCGCGCGGGGCGGGGGAGAAGGGGGCGGAGCGGGCCGGTCGCCTAGCAACCGCGGCACGCCCCCGGGAAACGCCTGACGCGGCTTGCGCGCTGACGCACGGGGGCGGGGCGCGGCTTGGAGGTGTCTCCCCAGCGGGCCTCTGGCGCTGGCTGGGGGAAGGTTTGGGGTACGCTTGGAGCTGGGGCCGTGGAGGGCGGGGCGCACGGCTGCCATGGTCGAAAGCCCCCTATTGCCGCCCCAGAGACGCCGCCCGCCGTCTGGGGCTCCCCAGGCGCACGTGGCAGAGGGGAGTTCTAAAACCTCGGGCTTGGATAGGAGTGAAAAGTGAATCGGTGGATTGTTTCAGAATTACACCCCGGCGGGGCGTGACCGTGGAGAGCCAGACTCTTAATGACCCCGTACCGTACTTGCACTGAAAAACGATTGTCCCAATCCCAATGGCCACCCCGGGTGACATTCCTCCTTCACAGATTTTTCTTTTTACGTGGGATCCGAAGTTGGGCTAGGGCGCAGAAAGGCTAGGGTGCAAGAAGAAAAGCCATTTCACAGATGGGGAGACGGAGGCCGGGGAGCCTTGCTTCCTCGTGGCGAGGCGTGGACTCGCCTAACAGCCCGGCCTTCCTCCTGCAGCCAGGACTCCTCGGAAGGCTCTGCCTTTGCCCTCTCCTCCCTCAGAGAGTGTGAAGGCGTCTCCCCAACTCGCGGTACAATTCAGACTCTTCGGTCACACCGAGGTTTGAAGGTAGAAAGAGTTAAAGTCGGCGTTTAACCAGACACCCAGGTCCGAACGCCCGCGAGGCGTCGACCGCGGGCGCCACCTGGCGGGGCCTGGGGGGTCATGTCAGGGCAGCCCCCCAATAACCATACATTCTAGTTTCCAGCCCAGCGTCATTCCCCTGAGTGAAAGTAAGATATCTTGTTCTCCTGTGTCCAAACAAAGGGCCCAGCGTCTCTTCGTGAGTTAAGAACCTGTTCGTCTGGGGAATTTTCCTTTTTGTAATCAATGTGCTTGTTCCTTTTTTTTTTTTTTTTTGTAGCCTGCCTATAATAGATACAGAAGCAAAACACGTTTTCTTTCATGATGATCATTTCATTTGTTTTTCTAATTTTATAAAGAAGCGTGTACTTTTCCCCTGCCTTCCCCTCTTCTCTTCCCCTGGTACCAGAGCAATCTTGCTCTTGTGGACATTTGCATTTAGGCTCTTTGAAGCTTTTGTTTGAAGAGTTCCCTGGCAACAAAAAGTTTGGACAAGATTGTTAGGAAAGTCCCTCCCAGCCCCACGATTGCAAAACCCTGTTAAATAACTCCTGCCCCTGTACCTCTGTGGATACCGCAGACCACTCTGCTACCCTGAATTGTTGAATGAGACTTGCCTACACTTGCTTCCTTACCGCATTCTGAATCACCTCCGCGAGAGAATTGCATCTCCAGCCTGTGTTTGAAACACATTTTTCAGAGCCAAGCCAAGACAAGCTGTGTTTCAGGTAGAAAACACAGACGCTTCCTTTGTCTTGTCTGTTGTTCCCAGGGTCAAGGGAGGGAAGATTCTTGTTGAGGGTGGTGAAGCTCCATGAATCTCTGACCTTAGAGGTGAGAGTACTTTGCCGAGTTTCCTCAAAGAATCCCGTTCCATAAATGGCAAGTCCAAGTTCAAGTCCAGTAAGGGTCTAACAGGAGCCCACTTACCCCCCACCATGCAGCTTCCCACACCCTCCAGCTCCAGAGATAAGCAGAAAGTAAAAAGATGCCTGCCTGTCCTTTGAAACCAGCTCTAGTACATCAGAAAAATAAGTAACATTGAATAAACCAAAGCATGCAAATATTGGGCCAGAGTGTAGGCAAAGGGTTCAAACCTCAGCCCTGCAAATAAATAAATAAGATCTGGGTTAGATTCCCAGCACTACAAAGACAAAAACAACACATGGAATGCTCTGAATGCAATCACAGCAGTTTCAAATGTACAGCAGGAGCTAGGTGCTCATGCATGCAATCTGAACTATGCAGGAGACTGAGATCTGGGGGATAGTGATTTAAAACAGGCCTGCTAGAAAAGTTTGTAACACTATATCTGCAAAAAAGGCAGGCTGGAGATGTGATTCAAATGGTAGTGCACTAGTTAAGCAAGCATGAAGCCCTGAGTTCAAACCTTAGTATTGGTGAGAAAATACCCTTGTGGCCACATTCAACTGGAATTTTTTTTTAAAAAAATCAAACATTTGTTGGTAGATGAAGTTTGAAATCGTTTTATAGAGGTTGGAGGCATGGCTCAGGTGGTAAAGTGACAGCCAGTGAGCAAAAGTGTCAGATGCCAAGTTCCAGTCCCTGGTTTTGGACAAAAACAAAAAAAGGAATCATTTCATACCTTTGAATTTCTTTACAGTACTATGTGCCACAATGCTTACAATGGCACAGGCACCACAAAACTGTGTTTTTAAAAAGTCATTCAGACCAAAGCTATGCAAGTCCCTCTTCTGATACTTCCCATCTCTAGCACTGGGGACAGCAGGTGCTGAGTCTACTAACACCCCTTCTGAGGGTTCTTTATTTTGGCGGTTGTGGGGCTTGAATTCTGGGCCTGGGCGCTGTCCCTCAGCTCTTCAGCTCAAGGCTAGCACTCTACCACTTGAGCCACAGGGCCACTTCTGGTTTTCTGGTGGTTTACTGGAGATAATAGTCTCATGGACTTTCCTCCCAGGGCTGGCTTTGAACCATAATCCTCAGGTCTCAGCCTCCTGAGTAGCTAGGATTACAGGTATGAGTCACCAGCGCCCTGCTTGAGGGTTGTCTTTATTAGTCCCAAACCCCAGAAACATTTATTTTTCTTGTTTTTGTTTGTATCTTTTGTTTTTGGTGTCAGTACTGGGGTTTGAAGTCAGGACCTAGGCACTGTCTCTTTGCTTTTTCATTCAAGGCTGAATGAGTCACACTTCTACTTCCAGCTTTTTGGTGGCTAATTGTGGGTAAGAAGAGTCTTACAAATTTTTCTGCCCAAGCTGGCTTCAAACTGGGATCCTTAGCTCTCAGCCTACTGAAAATCTAGTATAGTTAGGACTTTTTCTTTTTTTTTTTTTGTCTACAATCTTTTTTTTTTTAATTTAATTTAATTTTTTTTGTGAACATACTGTACAGAGGGGTTACAATTACATGGGCAGGATAATGCATACATTTCTTATCAAGCATTGCAGCCTCCTCCTTTGTTTACCTTTCACATCCCTTCCCTACCTCCCCCCCCACCCAATCCGCCCCCCCCTCCCCCACCCACCCCGCACCAACATTGTAAAGCTCGTTTTCGACATGACCTTGTACTTCTCATTGTTGCAACAGGTCCACCTGTATCCTTAAACGACTTGTTTTTCCCCATCTCCTCCACAAGTTATACTGACATCAAATATAGTGAAAGCAGGGGTTATACTGTGGGGGAGGGACATACAAAGCAACAAAGAGATAATCTTATAAATGCGTTAGAAACACATGCATGAAATAAAAAAGCATTAAAATACATATCTAAGGGTTCATTTTCCTAACATCACATTATCTGACCTTTTGTGCTTGAGTTAGGACTTTTTCTTTACCCCAAATTGCTGCCACCTCTGTTTACTCTTCCTGAGTTAGCATAACCAGTGTAACCTGCTGACCCTGAAGGAACATATGAGTGATGTTTCTGAAACTTTAGAGGCAAACCAGGACTCTTTCTAATCATCGCCAACATTGACTGAGTCTGTGCTACGCTCCAAGTACCCTCTGAAGCGCCTTAATATATTTGCAGATTTAAAAGTCATGGTAAGGGACTGGGAAGGTGGCTCAGTGGTAGAACACTTGCCTTGCATGCCTGAGGCCCTGGGTTCGATTCCTCAGCACCACATAAGCAAAAAAGAAAAAAGCCAGAAGTGGCTCTGTGGCCTTGAGCTGAAGAGCTGAGGGACAGTGCTCAGGCCCAGAGTTCAGGCCCCACGACCGGACCCAAAAAAAAAAAACAACCAAACAAAAAGTCATGGTAAGTGAGGTAGATGCCACCCTTTAAGTAACACTTCTGGAAACAGTCTCGGAGATCAATAACTCACCCAAGGCATACAGCTAGCAGCTGATGAGCTGGGACTCAGCCCCCACATCCTTGACTGCCCATATATTGTATGCGTTCCCTGGTGTGGCAGAATAAACCACGGGGCTCTTTGAATTGTGTGGCACGCAGCATCCCTGGGTTGATTCTGACATAAGGTAAACAGTCCCCCAAAATCATCCATAACCTACTCCCCCTAATTTATGACCCTGCTACCTTTCTTGGCAAAAGAAGGAGTTCAGAAATACGTGAAGGATCGTGAGATGAAATATTTTATTCTGACTAGCCTTGATAAGATGGGGGGGGGGGCCTGCAGGGGAGGATGTGATCATGGATGCAGAGGTGGGAGGGGGAAATGGAAGGAGGGAGGGAGGAGGAGGAGATTGATTTGCAGGTGCTGCTGTCAGTCTCAAAGATGTAGGAAGGAATCATGAATCATGCATGAGGCACCCTACCTGCAGGGGACTCTGGATGTTTATGACATATAGGCTGTGTTGTGTGCCCTAGCTCCAGCTTCTCAAAGAACAGAAAACATCTGTTTAAAAGGAAATCACTTCCCCTAGGATTAGGCAGCACTTGAAATCCTGACTTTGAAGTTCTCGGAACAACTTGCCTCAGCCCCAGTTTCTGCCAGTCCGCTGACTGCTAGTCTCCCTCTAGGGCCTTCACGAGAAGCCCTGCTTCAGGACCTTGAGCCCCTCACTCACCTAGCTTCCCTTGTCCCTGCCAGGGAACTTATAGATCCCACATCATCCACAGAGGGAGGATTCCCTCTGTAGAATTTCCCCAGGAACCAGCAGGTGGTGGAATCTCCACCGAGACTAGGGTTTCTGCCACAGGTTGTGAGGGACATTTTTACCTTAGATGAGTCCCATTCTTA